GAGGAGGAGGAGGGAAGAGCCCACAGCTTAAGGGTCGGAGGGAGGGGAGAAGGGAGCGGGAAGGAAGAGACGGGGAGGGGAGGGGAAGGGAAGGGAGGGGAAGGGGAGGGGAGGAGAGAGGCGAAGGAACGAGAGGGGAAGGGACAAGAAGGTAAGAGAGAAGAGGAGAGCAGAGGAAGAAGAGAGGGGAAGGGATGAGAGGGAGAGGGGAAGGGATGAGAGGGGAGAGGGGGATGAGGGAAGGGAAGGGAGGGAAAGGGAGGCAAGGAGGTGAGGGGAGGGAACGAGAGGGGAAGGGAGGCTGGAAGGGAGGGGAGCAGAGAGAAGAGAGAGAAGAGGAAAGCAGAGGAGAAGAGAGGGGGTAAGGGAAAGAGGTAATATAGGATGGAAGGCCCGACGGATGGGAAGGGAAGAAAGTAAACAAAAGGAAAAGATAAAGAAGAAAAAAGGAAGGAAGGATGGAATGAGAAAGGGAGGGGCACAGGGAAGAAAGGTGTAAAAAAGGAAAAATGGATAAGAAATGAGAGAGAAACCCTTAGAAGAAAAGTGGAGATGAAAAGTGAACAAGAGTAGGAAAGAGCAATAATAACGCGCAAAATACAGAACGAAAACGGAAAAGAAATAAGGAAACAATAAAACATGAAAGAACAAATATACAACGAAAACTAATCACAGCGCGGTCGCTGTGCGTGCGTGCGTAGGCCTTGAGTACTTCCCCTCCCTCCCCCCTTTTCCCTTCCCCCTTTCTTCCTCCCCTCCTCCCTCCTTCCCCCTTCCCACCTTTCTCCTCCCTCCCCTTTCTCCTCCTCCTTTCCTCCCTCTTCCTTTTCCTCCTTCTCTCCCACCTTCCCCCTTCCTTCTCTCCTCTCGATTCTCTCTCCCCCTCTCCCTCCTCCCCCTCCCCCCCTCTCGTGTTGTGGCGCCAATTGCCAGCGTCTCAAGGTCGCCTCCGGTAACTCGGACGCCTCTCGGAGGGTCTTGTCGGGGCGGAGAAGGAGAGAGAGAGAGAAGAGAAAAGAGAAGAGAGAGAGAGAGAGAGAGAGAGAGAAGAAAGAAGAGAGAGAAAGAGAGAGGAGAGAAGAGAGAGAAGAGAGAGAGAGAGAGAGAGAGAGGAGAGAGAGAGAGAGAGGAGAGGGAAAGAAGAGAGAAAGAGAAGAGACGAAGAGAAGGGAGAGAAGAGAGAGAGAAGAAGAGAGAAGAGAGGGAGAGAGGGGAGAGAGAGAGAGAGAAGAGGAGAGGGAAGAGAAGAGAGAGAGAAGAGAGAGGAAGAGAAGGGAGGAGGAGAGAGAAGAGGAGAGAGAGAAGAGAAGGGAGACAGAGAGAGAGAGAAGAGAAGGAGATAGAAGAGGAGAGAGAGAAGGGAGATAGAAGAGAAGAGAGAGAAGAGAAGGGAGAAAGGAGAGAAGGGAGAAAGGAGAGAAGAGAAATGGGGAAGGGAAAGGCGATAAGAGCAATAGGAGGGGGGCAAGGTGAGAAGAGGGAGAAGGTGAAGAGAGGAGAAGAGGGTAAATTAAAGAAGGGAGAGAGCGGTGTAGACGCGAAGAGCGAAATTAAAGGGTGAGGGAAGAGAGAGAGAGGAGAGAGAGAAGAGAGAGAGAGGTCAGAGTCGACATGAGAGACGGGAGAAAGAGGTGGGAAGCTGGGATTGAGAGAGCGGCGAAAGAGAGAAGAACAGAGAGAGAGAAGAGAGGAGTTGATGAGGATGCCACGAGAAGAAAGGACGGAGATAGGAAAGGGAGAAGGAAGCGAAGACAGGGAAAACGATGAAGGGAGGGGAAAGACAACAAAGACGAACGAATGGAAGAATAAGGAAAGAAAAGGGAAAGAGAGGAAGACGAGAGACGAGAGAGGAAGAGGCGAAGGGCAAAACCGAATCGGAATCAATCAAGTCAAACGAAATGACACGAGCGGAAACCACCCACTCAGGAAGTGATGACGTCACTCGCGCGACCTCCTCTCGCCGGAGACTATCGCATAGCTGTCGGAGGGCTGTAGGAGCCTGGTGGGAGCTATCACAGGGTACTAGAGGCTGTGAGATAGCTGTGAGAGGCTATCGCAGGCTGTAGGAGGTTGTAAGAGGCTGTCGCAGGTTGTTAAGAGGCTGTGGGAGGTTGTAAGAAGCTGTGTGAGGCAACTAGAAGCTGTGGAAGGCTGGGGAGGCTTATCGCAGCTACTAAAGGCTACTAAAGGCTGTGAGAGGCTATCGCAGGCTGTAGGAGGTTGTAAGAGGCTGTGGGAGGTTGTAAGAAGCTATGTGAAGCTACTAGAAGCCGTGGAAGGCTGTGAGAGGCTTTCACAGGCTACTAAAGGCTGTAAAAGGCTGTGAGAGGCTATCGCAGGCTGTTAAGAGGCTGTGGGAGGTTGTAAGAAGCTGTGTGAAGCTAATAGAGGCTGTTAGAGGCTGTGAGAGGCTATCGCAGGCTGTAAGAAGCTGTGGGAAGCTATTGCAGGCTGTAAGAAGCTGCCAAGGACTACAAGAGGCTTATCATACCTTACGTCGGTTAATGGAGTCGACCCCCCCCCCACCCCGGCCTTCTCTAAGTCCCACAAACCTATCTTCACTAAAATGCAAAAACTAAAGGAGAGGAGTATGCAAAAAAATAAAAAATAATAAAAAAATAAATAAAAAAAAAAATAAAAAATAAATAAATAAATAAAATAATAATAAATATAAAAAAAACATATTCATCAGCACATGTTTAAATATAACAACAATGAGAGGGATAAGAAGAATAAACGCTGGAGATTGCGGATAATTAAATAATCATGAATAATAATAATAATAATAATAATAATAATAATAATAATAATAATAATAACGTAAAAATCATATCAGAAAAAAATAAACCCACACCACAAAACTATACGATAAAATCAACACTCCAAAACGCCCATAAAAGCCAAAAAAACCCATAACAAAAGACAAAAATAACGAAATACCAATAAAAAAAATAAAAAAAAATACTCCAAGACAAAATAATAAAATCCAAATTTGCAAAACAACCGAATAATAATAACGACACCAAAATCCCTTTTCACTCTCTCTGTTCCCTCTCTCCCTCTCCCTCTCCCTCCCCTCTCATTTCCCCTCTTCCTTCTCCTCCTCCCGTCCTCTTTATATTTTTAAATAACCGATGCCATTAGAGCCCCAAAAAAAGCCCCCGTTGCACCGCTCTTTGCAACTCTGCAACTCTGCAACACCTCCATCGCTGAGGCCTACACTTTCTCCGCGCGCTCGAGACGGCCAGGGTCAACCGTGGCGCTACCGCAGGCGGGCGCGCGCACGCTCACGCAAGGCTGCAATCGTGCAATCGCGCTCAACTTGAATTAACTTTCTCTCTCGTTTATAATAGAAAATGGGGGGAAGGAGGGGGTAGGGGGTAGGGGAGTAGGGGGGAGGGAGGGGAAGGGGGAGTAAGGGGAATGAGGGAGGGGGTCGGGAGGGGAGGGAAGGAGGGGGTGGGGAGGGGAGGAAGGGGGGTGAGAGGGGAGGGGAAAAGGAGGGGAGGAAGGGGAGTTTAAAAAATGGAAGTGGAGGAGGAGGAGAGGAGGGAAGGAGGAGCGAGGAGGAGGGGAGGGAGGAGGGAGGGAGGGAGGTGGATGGGAAGGAAGAGGAGGTAGAAGAAAGAAAAGAGGAAGGGAAAAAGGAGAAACACACACGTACACACACACACACACACACACACCACACACACACACACACACACACACACACACACACACACACACACACACACACACACGCACTTTTCCCTCTTTCCCTCTTTTTACTTGGTAATAGGAAATGATTAAGAAATTATCGAAATGACGTTAAGTAGCCACTAAAAACAAATAACGAAAGAAAAAAAGGATGGAAAGTTAAAAAGAGGAAGAGAAGAGAGAGAGAGAGAGAGAGAGAGATGAGAGAGAGAGAGAGAGAGAGAGAGAGAGAGAGAGAGAGAGAGAGAGAGAGAGAGAGAGAGAGAGAGAGACAAAACAAGGAAAAAGATAAAGCATCCACTCGCCCCCCCCAAAAAAAAAAAAAAATAATAATAAATAAATAAAATAAATTTGATTAAAAAAAACACACACCACGGCATCCATCAGCGCCGCCGCGTGGACCAAGAGGGCGAGGGTGCCAAAGGGGGGGGGGGGGGGCGCAGATTACCATCTCACGGTAGCATGGGCGGAGGCTGCAAAGCGGGGCCAGAACACATCGCGGCCCTCAATGACAAAAGGGGGGGGGGAAGGGGAAAGGGGAAGGGGAAGGGAAGGGAGAAGGGAAGAGGAAGGGGGAGAGGGAAGAGGAAAAAAACGAGAGGAAGAACTGGAAGAAAACAATAAACAAACAAACAAACGAGAAAGGAAGAAAACGGAGAAAAAGTACAAGAAATGGCCGTGAGAAAAGCACGAGGAAGAGATTGATGACGATAATTACGGTGAAGAGAAGATGTGAGGGGGGCGGGAAAGAAGAGAGTGGGAGAGTTGGAAGTGGGAAAGAGGGAACGAGGGAAAGAGGAGAGGAGGAAAGAGGAGGGAAAGAGGAGGAAAAAGAGGAAAAGAATTGGGGAGAAGAGGAGGAGGGAAAGGGAGAAATTTGGAGGGAAAGGGAAACAAGGCGGAAGAGGGGCAGAAAGGAGCCTGAAGCAGAGGAGCAGGGAGGGAGAAGAGGGAGGAGAGTGAGCCTCGGACCGAAGTCTCGACGGCGCGGCGGCCAGCTGAAGCGCCGCCCTGGATGGAGCCGCCAGACCAAGATCAAGGCCTGCGGACCGCCTAATACGGAAGCGCCGGCCGCCCGAGCCATCTTGGAGCGGTTCTCAGCTCTCGGGTCGTCCGGGGACCTTCCGACACTCCCTCTTCTCGCCATGTACGTCCCCGCGCCAAGGTCTCACGTACGTACACAGAAACACGTACAAACACACACCCATACATACGTAAGTAAGCATGCAACATGTGCACATACTGTCATTCCAAACCGCGCGCCCTCTATCACTCTAATGAAACTTTTCGAGGTGACGTACCTGTCGGTGAGGCCGCCCTTCTCGATGTGCGCGATGACGTATCCGGTGGTGGCTCCGCGGGCGTTCCTGCGGGCGGTGATGTAGATGCCGAGCTCGCCCGTGTGGTCCTTGACGAGCCGCATGAGGCGGAAGGTGCGCGGCGTGGGCGAGCGCGCCAGGGACACGGGCAGCGACAGGGGCGCCGTGGAGTAGGACTCGGGCACGGGGTGCGCCAGCGCCGCCGCCCGCAGGTGCCCGCGCAGGGGCGTGCTCGACTCGTCCCACCACGCGCACCGCTCGCCGTCCTCGGAGGCCTCGCGGAACACGCTGAGGGCGCCTCGCAGGGGGCTCAGCGGCGACGTCCGCCGCTCCAGCTGCGACGCCAGGAACCTCTGGCGGCGACACATGAGGTCGGGCGGGTCGGAGAGGCGCCGCGGGCCGCGCGACCGCCCCGGCACCAGCTTCTCCTCGTCCGTCAGGTTGTACTTGGACCCCGGCGACGGCGTCGGCCCGCTGCTCTGCCGCTCCAGCCTGCTGTGGCGCAGCACTCTGCTGTAGTCGGTGTAGTCGTCGCTGTACTTGGGCGTGACGCTGCAGTCGGCGTAGTCGGCGCTCGCGTGCGAGAAGGGCTCGCGCGCGAACTCCTCCAGCTTGGCGTAGTTCTCGGCCTTGGCGTACCTGTCGGGCTTGGCGTAGTCGTCCAGCTTGGCGCAGGCGTCGAGCTTGGCGTAGTGGTCGAGGCCGGCGCTGTCGGCGCCCGTGAGCGAGCCCGAGTCCGAGTTGGTCTCCGAGTGGCTCTCCGTGCTCACGCCCGAGTCCGCGTCGCTCTCCGCCTTCTTCGCCCTCGCCTTCGGGGACTCCTGCCTGGCGCCGTCAGACTCGTAGCCGCTCTCGTTGCTGCTCAGGTACACGGCCGCCGCCCGGCCCTCGCTGCGCGCGCGGAACCTGTCGGCGCGGTGGACGCGCGCGCCCTGGCGGGTGGGCGGGCGCTCGGCGGCGGCGTAGGCGGCGTCCGCCTCGATGATGGCCGTGGCCGAGAAGGAGCGCGAGCGGGGCTGCAGCGGCGTCGGGATCGGGTGCAGCCGCAGCTTGAGGCCGCCCAGGTTGCGGTGGGCGGGGCTCGCGGCGCAGTTCTCCTCCGACACGGCGCGCAGCTTCTGCCGAATCAGCTCCCGCGTGTCCTCGTCGCACACCGAGTCGCGCAGGGTCGTGAGGCGCTTGCTGGGCGGCCGCGAGGGCGTCTCGGTGATGGGCGTGTGCGTCTCCTGGGCCTCCGCCTGCTGCGCGCCGGCGGCCTGCGGGCGCGAGCGCAGGAAGGCGTGGGGGAAGGACGCGCGGGCGCCGCCCAAGGAGGCGATGTTTTCGCAGCTCACCGTCTTGGTCGGGACGTAGGGCGCGGCGGAGGGCGGCGACGCGCCCAGGTCCAGGCCCGCCGTCGGGTCGTCGCCCGCCAGGTACGTGCCCAGCTGCGACGCCGAGCACGAGCGGTACAGCTGGCGCGCCTCCACGCTGCGGCTCTCGGGGGAGGGCGTCCCGGGCACGGAGCTGCCGCCCCACGACGCGCCCCCCGACGACGGCGGCGACGCGCCGGTCCCCGCCGACCTGGGGAAAGCAAAACAATCACACTGAGACACCACAGCCACAAACAAGGAAGCAAATCAACAAAAACAAAATATTGCATTTTGGGCGACGCATCCCCGACGCCCCAACCCGCCCCCCCCCCCCCCCACCCCTTCCCTCGAGACCCCCAGGGCGAGACCTACCTGGTGGAGCTGCTTCTGGAGAACATGTTGGAGCTGACCTTCTCCTTGCTGGGCGTCCGCGTCAGCTGCTCGAGCTTCTTCCCGACGCGCCTCCCCCACGTGGCCAGGGCTGACGGAGGGAGAGAGGGACGTCAGCGGAGACGGCAGAAGGGGAGCGACACGAGCGATGAAAGGAGAGAATCCATCGTCGTGGCGCGAATGAGAGAGAGAGAGAAGAGAAGAGAAGAGAGAGAGAGAAAGAGAAAGAGAAAGAGAAAGAAAGAGAGAAAAGAGAAAAGAGAAAGAAGAAGAGAAGGGAGGGAAAGAGAAGAGAAGAGAAGCAAAGAGAAGAAGAAGAGAAGAGAGAGAAGAGAAGAGAGGAGAGAAGAGAGAGCGAAGAGAGAGAAGAGAGGAGAAAGAGAGAAAGAAGAGAAAGAGAAAGAAGAGAAAAGAAAGAGAGAGAAAGAGATGAGAAAGAGAAACAGAAAACAGAGAAAGAGAAAGAAAGAGAAAAAGAAAGAAAAAAAAAAATCTAACCGCACAGTTATTGAGAAGGCCACGGCGCTTAATTGATACTCCTCTGGCACTGCTTCGGGTCGACCTTTCAGCGCAAGTGTGGAAGCGCCGGCGCCTCGGGCGGTCGCGGCCTTCGCTCAAACAAGACAACACACGATGCACAGCTGGTGTCGATTTAAGGCACGGGCTCAGAGGCGAGGTTTGATTCGAAAAAAAAAAATTTTGGGCACTCACACGCACAAGCAAAGCACATACACACACACACACACACACACACACACACATCACACACACACACACACACCACACACACACACACACACACACACTCACCACACACACTCACACACACACACACACTTTCACACACCACCACAAATCACACACAGCACACACATCACACACACACACACACACAATCACACACACACTCACACATCACACACCACACACACAATCACACACACACCACCCCACACACCCACCACAACACAACACAACCCCCCCAACATCACACAAACTCCCCCCGACAACCCACACTACACACGACACATACACAAGCAAATCTAATTTCCCCGAATACCGCCCACACATGCGCACATCACATCACATCACGTCACATCAGCCACGCCCCCCTCAACCCTTCATACCGAGTGACGTCCGTTGATGTTGACGTTGACGCCCAACAGCTGATGCATATTCACCGCAAGACTTCCGAATGATTTATTCATAACGCGAATCAATTACCGCGTCAACATCATAATAATATTCACTTGATAATATTCACTTGATAATATTCACTTGGGACTTTTCGATTCGGTGGAAAGCGATGGAAAATAAACAGATAATAAATTCATTCTAAAAGAACATTAAACGAATAAATGATTGGCCAAAGAAAAAGAAAAAAAAATAATAACGATAATAACAACAGCAATAATAATAATAATAATAATAATAATAATAATAATAATAATAATAATAATAATAGACAAAATAAATAAAAAAGTGAACTAACAGCTCAAATACGTAACCGACAGAGCCAAAACATTATCGCAATCAGCAAACCACATTTTTTAACATTTTCCCATTATTTGCTTTTATCATTTGAGTGCAAACCGCCAAGCTGAGCGCTGAAGGTCGGAGAGTGTGTGGCGAGCGCGCGTAACAACAGCTGATTCAGAGCGCACAAACAGCTGATCCTGAACCCCCGCACCTGCAGCTCGATCGGGAAGAGATGGATGGCCTTTCTCGGAAGAGCCTCCGTCACGCCGGCGTCACGTGGGCCGACACGGGCAGGTATGGGCGGCGGCGAACGAATTATCGGTTGGAATGAGAGTGGTGTGCGGAGAGATGGGGAAACAGATAGAAAGGTGGAGGACATACATAAAAGACCGATGGACAGACGAAGGCAGAGGACAGACAGACGAATACACACACAAACAAATACACACACACAACACACACCAACAGGCACACGCACACACACCACACACCACACACACACACACACACACACGCACACGCACACAACACACACGCACACGCACACGCAACACACACACACAGCACACACAAACAGCTTCCTCGTCCTCACCTTTCTTTGGCGTCTTCGGCGTGGTGTTGGTCGAGGAGGGCGGGGTTGAGCCGGCCGTGGCGTTGGCAGCGGCGGGGGGAGTGCCGGTGCCAGTGCCATTGGCGGCCGTCTCCAGCACCCTCGCGGGCACCGCCGTCACCGTCTGGTAGTGGGGGCCGCCCCCTTTGCCCTCCTCTTGGCGCCCTCACCTCATCGGCCTCCTTCCCGGGCGTCCTGTGGAAGAGGCCCCTCGCGAGGGCGTCGCCGAGGCGCCCTTCTGCGGCGCGCGGCGAGGCGGCGGCGGCGACATCTTTGCTCGGGCTCGAAACGATGCGGGGGTCGCTGTGGCGCCGCCGGAACAGACGCATCGTGCCCCGCTTCCTCTCGGATCCTCCTCCCCCTCCTCCTCCTCCCCTGCCTACCTCTCCTCCTCCTCCTCCCTCCCCCTCCCTTCCTCCTCTCCACCTCCTCCTCCTCCTCCTCCTTCCTCGGGGCTTCCTTCCGGCCGGAGTTCCTCACGCTGCGCCCCGCCCGCTCTCCGCCGAGGACCTGGACGCCGTCATGGTCGAGCTGTGGAAGGGAGAGAGAAGCCTCAGTGAGGGGGATGCTTGGCCTCCGACGCGGAAGAGGAATTAATTTAACCGCGGGAGAGATAGATAGATAGATAGATAGATAGAGAGAGAGAGAGGAGAAGGGAGGGAGGGAGGGAGGGAGGGAGGGGGAGGAGAGGGAGAGAGAGAGAGAGAGAGAGAGAGAGAGAGAGAGAAGAGAGGAGAGAGAGAGAGAAGAGAGAGAGAGAGAGAGAGAAGAGAGAGAGAAGAAAAGAGAGAGAGAGAGAGAGAAGCAGGAAGGAAGAGAGAGAGAAAGGGAGAGGAGAGAAAAGAAAGAGAGAGAGAGAGAGAAGGCGAGAGAGGGAGAAGAGAGACGACAGAAGACGAGAGAGAGTAGAGCGAGAGACGACAGACTAATCATCAGAAAACCCTTATGACAAACCGCAAGCAGCAACCACGCCCCACAATTTGGATGATGGGCCAACGACGTGCCCGCATCACGTCTGACAGAGGCAATCCCGCCCGTGATTGCAATATCAACGTAATGACACCGTTTAACTTTCCATCTTGAGCGAGCATCTTCCTCTTGCAACACGAGGAAGCCGCTCTGCAACACATTCAAAATAGCTTCCTTTTTTTTTTTTTTCTTTTTCCCCCCTACAACCCCCCCCCCCCGTGGCTACTGACCCCACCTTCCCTCCCCGAAAAAATATCAATGATATAAAACATTCTAGACCGACACATTCTCCGTCTGTCTATCTGTCTGTCTGTCACTCTTTCTGTCCGTGTCTGTGGGTTTGTCACTCTCTCTCTCTGTCTGCCTGTCACTCTGTCTGTCACTCTCTCTGTCTGTCCGTCTGTCTGTCCGTTTGTCTTTGTCTGTCTGTCTGTCTGTCTGTCTATGTGTGTGTGTCACTCTCTATCTACTTAAAAAACAAAATGAGATGAACAATTCCGAGTGCCTGTCTGTCTCTCCTAAAAAATCTGCAAATAACGTAAAAATAAACAAACAAACAAACCGTTAAATTCCCCTCAATCCTCAAGATTAAAAAAAAAAAAAAGTTGAAAATTTAAAAAAAAGAGAAAGAAAAAAAAAAGAAAAAAGAAAAAAAAAGGAAAAAAAAAAAAAAGTTTGAATCCCAACGAAGTTNAAAAAAAAAAAAAAAAAAAAAAAAAAGAGTGAAGAAGAACGCAAGCACAGAAGGAAAAAGAAAAAGAGAAGAACCGAATGGAAAGAGAAGACGTACCGAATGACACGAAAACAAGGAGCCGGAGGAGCGGTGCAGCCCATGGCCGGGAACTGGACTACAACATACAGCAGACTTCGGCAAGGCAGCGAGCGCGGGCGGAGGGGTATCGCCCCTTCAAGGATTACAGTGTATCCTGTTGCCTGTCGCTCTTATTAATCCCGAGGAAAACCCCTCTTTGTTCCACCCGCTCCGTGATCACAGGAGTAGGGGGGCGGACGATGGGGGGATTGGTTCGGAGAGGGAGGAGATCGGGAGGAATGGGGGGGAGAGGGAAGAACGGCATAGGATGGGATAGGTGAAGGGAGGGAAAGGAGGGATGGGAGAGGAGGGAATGGGAGGGGGAATAGGGAGGTAAAGAGAGAGAGAGAATTGAACAAGACGAGGAGAGACGAGACAAGGAACGAGAGGAGTCGATAGAACCCAGTAGATGGGTCGCGACGCGACGAAGGGAGAGATGACACAGCCGGATCGGAATTAAGACCGGGATGAGAGAGGGAAGAGAGACACGGAGAGATGGGGAGCAGATTATCGAGGATGATGAGGGAGATGAGAAGACAGAAGATGGAGAGAACGAGAGTGAGAGGAGGAGAGGAGATGGAAGAGAGATCGAGCCTACAACGAGGATGGTGAGCTAGAAGAGGCGGAAAGAAGAGAGACAAGGCCAATGGATGCGAGGACTTGACTAGTAGCTGAGGAGAGATTTAAGAAATGAGAGAGGTGAGATGAAGAGAAGGAGATAATGATTACGATGGATGATCGTAATGAGAGGGAGAGCGGAGCTAGACGACGGTAAGATGGAGAGGACCAGCTGATTCGAAGGACACTAGAGATGACAGCAGACGGGAGGCGGGTGACGGAGATCGATCTGGATGGTGATGGGAGAAAGGAGCGAGAGAGATGAGAGGAGTCGCAAGATGATCGTGCATCTGGAGAGAGGTGAGAGTGATGTCGACGTCTAGAGAGAGCTGACCGAGTGTGTGATAGCCGGAGAGAGCGATAGGCCGATGAGAGAGAGAGACGGAAGGCAGAATGATCTTGATGAGAGAGTTATGAAGCATAGACCGGAGAGAGTCGAGGAGAAACGGAGAGAAGAGGGGAGAGATAGGGAGCAGTATAAGAGAGAAAGAGAGGAGAAGACAGAGATATGATGAGTATTAGGATGAGCAGAGAGAGATGATGCAGTAAAGAGCGAGCCATACTTGACGGGGAATGGAGGTGAAAGAACAGTCGACTTGACGACTTTGAACGAATCAAGGAGTCAGGAGAGACGTGTGGAGCGTGAGGAGAGAGAAGAGACTCTATGAGAGGTGGTTAGCTAGAGTATCTAGGTAGACATTGTAGAGGGGAGTCCATTACGGACGACGTCAGAGCAGAACTGGAAGGGGAGAGATGTCGAGCAAAAGACGGGGGGAGGACGGATGGGAGAGATGATAGAACCAGAGCGTAAGGTATGAGAGACCCGATGGAGACAAACTGATAATGACACACGAGCATAGAGATGAGAGAGAAGGAGATGCATAGAAGGCACGACAAGAAGGAGAGACTCATGAGAGATATCAGGAGAGAACGGGGGAGAGGAAGAGACGTAGGAATATTGATAGTGAGGGCCGCGATTGGAGACGATAAGCAACAGCGAGAGATGGAGGTCCGAGGTGATCGATCTGAGTGGGATGTTGAGAGTGCTGGATGAGGATTCTTAGAGGAGAGGGTATTGACAGATAAAATGACGATGAGAGTAGAGAGAGAGGAGGTGTCAGAAGATTTGGACATGGTATCGAAGGGGAAGAAGTGGAACCGTAGATGGAGGACATGAGGAGGACGATATAGCTGAATGAAATTGTAGCTCAGTAGGAGAGCGTACAGGGAGGGATGGGAGAGTAACTGAGAGAAATTCTTGGTCTAACGGGAGTGAGAGATAGGGGAGAAGAATCAAAAAAATCACGGGGGAACGATGAAAAAGATGGTAAATGAGAAGAGATATGAGAAGTGACGTCTGAGCTAAGAGGAGGAAGGAGAAGAGTGGATGGACCATGAGAGGGGGAGATGCGAGGAGATCGGGTGAGAGAGAGACTGCTAGGAGCGGAGAGAGAGAAGGAGACCGAGTTTCTGAGAAAGTCAGAGATTGAGAGAGTGACAATCAGAATGAGTGATAGACATGGGGAAGGACGTGATGAACGAGATCGGGAGGAGCGAGAGAGAACGGATGAGGGGAGGACAAGTGAGAAGAACCGAAGGAGAAATATGGGAACGGAGAGAGGAGTTTTGAGAGATCAGTGCATGTTAGACGAGAGAACCGAGCGAGATATCAGACGAGCTGACGAAGGAGAGATAGAGACGTGAGTGATCAGCCGGCGAATAGAGAGGGAGAGAAGAGCAAAAGGGATGAGGTGTATAACTGAAAATGAATGCGAATAGAAGAAACAAATATAAGTAAGATAAGGAGAGGGAGAGGTGTATTGAGAGAAAAGTACGGAAGAAGAGGGAGAAAAGGAAGGACAGAAGAGAGATGAGACCGAGTGAAGGACGAATTTGAGAGGGAAGAGAGAGAGAGAGAAGAGGAGAGGCGAAGAGAGAGAGAAGAGAGGAGACACGAGAGATGAGATGAGACAAGATGAAATGAAATGTGAGAAAGAAGATAGGGAGAGGAGAGAGAGGAACCAAGACCTGAACGAAAATGAAGAGGATGAACATAAGAGAACAAGAGAATCGAGACGACAAGGATTGAAGAAGAGCCTGTTGAAAATGAGAGAGAGAAGAATGTGATTGTGAAGATGATCAGAACAGCTCTAACACGGAAGCTGACAGAACTAAGGATGAAGTGAAGAGAAGAGAATAGAGAGAGAGAGAGAGACGGATAATGAAAGAAAGGAAAAACAAGCGGTGAAGAAAGAGAGAGATTTGATGAGTTCACACAACCCACGGATAAAATCTTCTTTAAGGATCATCATTTTGAGTATCCCCTATCGACATAATTCAATTACATGTATTCTATTTTCGTTTTTTGTAGGCATTTCGTTTGGCAAGATACGATTTCGGAATAAGCCATAAGATATTCCATCGCGAAAGTTATGTTTAAAATAAAAACAGACTGATACCTTTAAAGCCGCCTAAGTTGATACACAATAGAGAGAAACAAAGCAAATAAACGCGCATCATAAACATCATAGATGAAAAATGATAGGCAAAATTTAGAGAGAGAATGAGACAAAAGCATGGTATGGCACAATATAGACTAAGATGGAGAGCAATATGATGGGGGGAGGAAGCGGAACGGGGCTACGCCGTGCGCGGGGAAAGGGATAAAGAGGGAAAGATGGAGAAAAGAGAAAGTGAGAGAGAGAGACGATAGAAAGATGAGAGAACGATTTGAGATTCATAGCGACCCGTTAAGTGCGATGCGAAGTCCGAGAGAGAGATGATGCCAGAAAGGTGAGTGAGAGATGAGAAGACTTGAGGATATGAGAATAGGAGAATCGAGCGAGAGAGAGAGACCCGAGATGAAGTATGAGAAGAGAGAAGAAACAACCAAGTAGCAATTTTTCCCCACTGTTTTGAAGAAAGTCTTAG